ACCGCGTGCGCGTCCTCGGCCTCTACCCCGGCCCTGACCTCTGACAGCTCTCGCAGGGGGCGCAGGTGTTTGGTCACCTATAGCACGTGTCCTCACCATCTGTGAGAGAATAGAAGGCAGAAGTTTAGACTTTCGATATCAAAAATCTCGCACGACAAGGAAATCAAATGAAGTGGAATTTTTCGTAACAGTTATATAGCCTCTCGCAGATAAGCACAGACGTCTCCGTACCGATCCACGAGACTCTAATAAACCGGCTTGTGATTCATGACTCCTATGAACCTAGAGCTCTGATACCAACTTGTCACGACCCGAGTTCGCCCTCCGTGAACTGTCGTGACGGCACATAGTCTCTACGACTAGATAAGCCTAACAATTTGCGAAAAAAGGAAAACGAAAGATAAAACTAACCAAAAACTGCGAAATAACATAAATAAAACGTTTAGGATGCCGCTAGGCATATACAAATATAAACTCTCAAAAACTGGAACAACTCCCAAAACCCGGAATCTCATGAAATCACAAGCTGAGAATGTTTACATAAAGTTCTAACTCCAGAATATCTAGTCAACAGAGAGTACAGAAGAACTAAAGCTAACAAAGAGAAATAGAAAGATACTCCTCGGTCTGCGGATGCGGCAGATATACCTCTAAGTCTTCGAAAGTCGGCTCGTTTCGCTAACGATATGGATGAGCAGATGAACCTGGATCTGCACAAGAAGAACATGTGCAGGAAAGGGCATGAGTACACCACGGCGGTACCTAGTAAGTGCCTAGCCTAACCTCGGTCGGGTAGTGACGAGGAAGGTCAGGGCCCTACTGGTCATAAACATATATATAAGGAAATGAAACAGTATAAAGAAACACAGGGTAATAAGAACAACAACTACATCAGAGATAAAATCACAGAAAGAAGATAGCTCTACACAGATATAGCAACCGCGGATCTACCATGATACCGTCCTGTAGTCCCCAAATGTAAATAACCAGCAACCGGGGATCTACCAAGATACCGTCCTGTAGTCCCCAAATGTAAATATCCAGTGGATCTCCTGGGTGTCGTCCCATAGTCCAACTCATAGTGCGCAGGGGATCTACCGGAACACCAATACGTAGTCCCAAATGTAAATACCCAGTACTAGGGGGATCTACCGGGTGCAGTCCCATAGTTCCAATATAACTGTGCAGGGGATCTACCGGAATACCGATCCATAGTCCCAAATAAACAGGCAAGGGGGATCTACCGGGATACTGCCTGTAGTCCTAAAGTAAACACACAGCAGCAACACGAAGAATATTCAATTCAATCAAATTTCATACCAAGGTAAAACAGGTATTTCTAACCTAGCACGCTGCACAGGATTCAAATAAAGCAGTTTGAGCAAGTAAAACAATTGAGTCATTTAGACATGTTTTCCTAAGCTAACAGTAGGCTTAAATTGCAAGTAGTATAAACAGGGAAGAAAACACAATTATAGTTACTTAATGAAGACCGAATTTTCAACAATTAGCACATGTACGCACTCGTCAGCTCACGTACAAGGAATCTCATATATCAACAATACCAAATCCTAAGGGGAGTTCCACACACAAGGTTAGGCAAGCCACTTACCTCGAACCAGCTCAATCAACTTGAAATCACGTTCTTGCCACGAGTACCCAACTCCAAATGGCCCAAATCTATTCAAAGTAATTGCATAATGTAAATATAACTTCAAGTAACTAATTCAACTAATTAATTCGAAGCTAACCCGCGGAATCAGGAAAATCGCCCAAAAAGTCGCCCGGGCCCACATCTCGAAAACGGATAAAATCCGCAAAACTAGAATCCTCACACTCTCACGAGTTCATACATACCGAATACACGAAAATCGGACCACAAACAACCCCTCAAATCCCCAATTCCAAGTTTCCAGTTTCAAACCCTAAACCCCCAAATTTAACCCTTATTCTCCATAAATTTCTTGCCAAATCAGTAGAAAAATACCATAATAACGAGTTTGGGTTCCAAAAACCTTACCTCCTCGAAGTTCCCTTGAATTCTCTCTCAAAAACCTCCCAAAAGGCTCAAAATTCGGATGAAAATGGTGAAGGAATGAGCAAAATCGCGACTGAAACCTTATACAGGTTCTGGCCCAGGGTTTCCGCACCTGCGGCCATTTCCTCGCGCCTGCGGTCCCAGGTGCGCATCTGCGAGATGTCACTAAAAGCACCAAACCGCACCTGCGCTTCTCCTACCGCACCTGCGGTCTCACAGGTGCGCTCAACCTCTCGCACCTGCGATTTCTGAAATCCAAGCTCCTAACCGCATCTACGGCTATTCCACGCTTCTGCGATCACGCACCCGCGGTCCCCAATCTGCAGGTGCGGTTATGACAGAACTTCAGCAGCTGAAGCTACTTCCAAATCTCCCAAGTTCTTCCGTCAACCTTCTGAAATCATCCCGAGGCCCCGGGACCTCAACCAAAAATACGAACAAGTCATATACCACTATTCAAACTTGTACCAACCCTCGGAACACTCAAAACAACGCCGGAATACCAAATCACCCTCGGATTCAAGCCTAAGTATTCCAAAACTTCCAATTTCCGCTTTTGATCAAAAAGTCTATAGAACTTCGTCCGAATTACCTGAAATTTTGCACACACGTCCCAAATAACACGACGGACCTACTCCAACTTCCGGAATTCCATTCCGACCCCATATCAAAATCTCACTATCGAACCGGAAACTTCAAAAATTCGACTTTCGGCATTTCAAGCCTAAATAAGCTACGAACCTCCAAAACAAAATCCGAACACGCCCCTAAGCCCGAAATCGCCTAACGAAGCTAACGGAACCAATGAAATTCCATTTCGAGGCCGTCTTCACACTGCTTCGACTACGGTCCAAATTCTAAAGCTTAAACTCTCATTTAGGGACTAAGTGTCCCAAAATACTCCGAAACTCAAGACGAATCCTCCCGACAACTCACAATAGCAGAAACAAACACGGGAAATGCAGTTAATAGGGGAACGGGGCGTCAATTCTTAAAACTATCGGCCGTGTCGTTACATTTATAAATAACAAGCTAATAATATAGCTTCATCCAATAAGTCATTAGAACACGGAGGTCTTATCTTATCTATTATTTCTAAAACGGAGGAGATTTATAAAATCAACATATTAATCTTCTCCTCCATAAAAAAGATCTGTCAAATTCTATTTGACATGAATGATTATCATGTATAGTATATTATTCACTCTTTCATAATTCTCATAGAATTAGCAAAGAACTTATGCGACTTGGATGAAATCAATCATGCTTTTATTTGTAACACACCAAATTCAAAACTCAAATTTGGTAAAATTGAAGAATAAATTTAAGCTCACTATCTTAGAGCTTTCAAGATTTTCAAAAATGGATAACAATAAAGTCTACATATTTGTAGGCTTAGGCGCATTTAAATACTATAAAAAGTGTACCTTAATTTTGTAATGCAGTTTATCCTCCATAATGCGACAATGCACAAAATTGAAAAAGTAACGTGATTAATATTCCGTTGCTCACTAAAATAATTTCAATAAAGAATGGTATTCTCCATAAGACCATTGTGCAAATATGAAGTGTAGGTTTCATTTTTAGAATTAGAACAATAACTTGGACAGCGTCAAATTTGATTCTCCATAATAAAAAAAATGTGGAAATATCCTTAAGATTGTTGGAAAAATATTGGTTATGGAGAATAAGAATTAGCTTGAGGCGTGTCAAGGACACTGTCCTTAAGGATATTTCGCCGCACAGTGATAAATAAAATTAGGCGTATCCCCAGGATTCAACAAGCTCTTCCAGTTATTAAACTAGGAACAGAATTAACAGAAAACTCAACATTACTAGAAATTCGGCAAAAACCGACCAAGAAAAATCGACCAACTTTGGTCGGTAAAAAAACCGGCCAAAAACCGACCAAAGTTGGTCGGTTTTCAAAATATTTTAATTTTTAATTTTTTTTACGAAACCGACCAACTTTGGTCGGTTTTCTTTGGCGCAAAAATGTGGGAAACTATTTTTGTGTCCCACCAAAATTTATTTTTCAAGAAACCGATCAACTTTGGTCGGTTTTTACAATTAAAATATATAAAAATTAATATTTAAAAAAACCTACAAACTTTGGTCGGTAAATAAGGCCGGTCATTTTAAAAAACCGACCAACTTTGATCGGTAATTTTATTTTTTATTAAAACCGACCAACTTTGGTCAGTTATTTTCGTGCAAAAATACAATTAAAGAGTATAAATAAATAAAAAGACAATCTTAAAACAAAATGCACCAATGGTCTAGTGGTAGAATGGTATCCTGCCACAGTACACACCCCGGTTCGATTCCCAGACAGTGAATCTTTTGATTACATAATTAAAAAACCGACCAACTTTGATCGGTATTTTTTTGCAATATTTTTTTTTTTTTTTGAATTTAATTTACCGACCAACGTTGGTCGGTAATTTCCGACCAACTTTGGTTGGTATATTAAAACGACCGTCAAAATACCGTCCAAGCGTATTTGGTCGCATTTTGGTCGGTAATTGGCCATAACCGACCAAAGTTGGCCGGTTTTTTTGGTCGGTATTTACCGGATTTCTAGTAGTGCAAGAAAGAAACCCAGCATATAGGAGAAAAAGATGATTCAGAAAGTTGTATTAGAAAGTGTGTATTTAGCTCTCCATACACCATGTTTATATAAGTGTTTTTCCAACGGCTAGTTAACGGCTAGATAACGGCTAGTAACAGCTAGTTTGACTCTATTAAATGTAAAATAATTTACTAACTAATAAATAGATGTAAATAATATTTCAAAGAGAAAAGAATTTTCAAACCAAGATGGACATTACCTTTTGAGATATTACTAATTTTCCAACAAAAAGAACACAAATATATGGTTATCTATGCGACTTGAAGTCACTACTATATTATTTGTTCTAGCTCATAGAAATTAAACATACTATATAGTTTGTGCGTTAATTTAAGGCTGGTCATGTCCAATTGCTGCATCACCTCCTTCACTTAGGTCATGACCTGCACCAAGTTCAGCATTAGCATCAGGATTATTGCCACCATTGTCACCAATATTAAAGCCTCCTCCAATGCTAGAACCAAGTCCAGTTCCAGCTCCAATAGTACTTGTTCCACCACCTCCAATAAAAGGACCAAAACCACCTCCAAACCCACCAACACCTGCTCCTAAACCAAACGGAGGCCTTATTCCACCTCTAAGTCCACCAAAACCACCAAAAAGTGGCGGCAAAGGGTGCCGAAAATATTCCTTCTGCTCATCAGCTGCTGCTTTTGCCTCCATTGCAAGGCTCCGCGCGTTTGTAGGGTAAGCAAGAATACTGGTGATCATAAGAACGATAACGAGAATCTTGGTTGCCATTTTCGATCTGTAGTCGTATAAACTAAGAGAGATAAATTATGTTTTGAGTGTGAGAAATTTGGGTTTGTGAGCTGAAGTTATATAGATGTCGAGAAATTGATACAATAATGAAGAATGTTAAAGGTAGGAACATCAGTAGCTCATGCATATAGTGCGTGCATTCTTGTATTAGAGAAAGGAAAGAGAAGAAGCCAACTACATCGATCCTTTCATTAAGATACCTTAATCAACACCATCTCGACTTCATGATCAACCTAAGTCTAACACACAGCAAACAAATAACAACTTAACATTCAATTTTTAGGAAGATAGCTAGTCATGAATTCATCATAGGTGAAAATACGAGTACTTGTCACATTCATTGTTACGTAAAGAATATTTTTGATAGACCAATTATTAATAGAGAGACAGAAGAAAGTATCGTAGACCGCGGTCAACTTGTTTTAGTTTACATATATCAAGACATTTTGCTTGTTAGCTATTAATAAGTCTAGAATTATGCTGAGAGACGTAACCATAAGAATGAAGCTTAAGTGCATAAATTTGAAACAAGTCTCCGGTAGATTAGAAAACTGATTTAAGTACAAATTGAGTTCTAACCCAGCTCGGTACGTAGTTTGATTCCACGAACAAAAAACAAGGTTAATTACTTCCTTGGATTAGCCCATAAAAAGAGAAAGAGAGTCAAATAAGGATTATAAGTTTTTTTGTTCCTCTCTCTTTCTCTTCAGGGATTAGAACAGACAAAAAGATATTAAGCGAGGGTGAGCTCAAGAGATAGATTATTGACATCAAAACTGGCAGATGGCTCTAAGGACATGGTGCTACTGGAGAAATCTTCATCTTCTGCAGATGGACTCTTATTTGACAAACTGCTACCTTCTCCTACCACTTTATTCCCGTCGCCAATATCCTGTAAAAAGCAGGAAAAAAAAATCTACTAATTAGTTAAATAGTCATAGGTACCAATCTTACAATAATGCTTCCAATTTATTGTATCACTTTAAAGAATTATAACTTAAGGAAAACCAGAGATTTCGTTTATAATTACTTGAACATTGTGACCATTGAAGAAATCCCTGAACATGGTGCAACGATTAGACTTTCCGTCCAATTCCATGATCTTATTTTCCATGGTCTCTTGCATATGTTTCCTGTTCAATTAAAACAAGGGGAAGGTTGAAGGCTATGCCGTTCTTTTTAGTGTTTATGCGTAACCAAGAAAAAAAAAAACTGGACCTAATTGAGCAAGAGACACGGATTCGCGCAATCTGTATAATTTGTCATATTTTTTTTCTTCATATTACTAATTCCACTTATTAAGGACAGCTTGCCAGTTATTACCAGTAATTATTGTGTACATGAAAAACTAAACGAATTCATAGAGGAGGAAAGAAAACAATTTGACCATCAAGGGATGTGATGGGATGGATGAGATCCCTCCGCTTTTATAACCAAAGGTCTCGAATCATGGGAACGTATTTCTCATAAAGAGTGTTTTTTCTCGATGGACCTTATATGGCACGACTCCAAATTAGCCAGATCAGATCAATGGGTACCGAATGGTTTAAAAAAAAGAGATTAAAGAAGCTTTACGAACCATGAAGGAGGCAAAATAGTAGGCGTAGAGGCAAGCTGGTCCGCATAGTTACTGCAGGTTACTGTACTCGACGAATGGGCATCAAACAAGGCTTTGCCATAATAGTAGTGATGATAATTCATTTGCTCTGGACCATCCCTTCTATTCCTTTTACTCCCATTTGCAGCTTCTGCTTCAGCTGCAACAAAACAAATTTTCACTCGTTTGGGCTTAACTCGTAAGTCGTACCATATAGATTCATTCATCCAAACATATTAATTTCAAATTCTGAATCCGCATTCTATTATGTGAACACTTTTGTTATGCAACGACCACCACATTGGCTATGTCTTGCACATATTTTAACTCATCAAAATAAACTCTACCCAAATCAAAAAAGATGAAAATGGGAATTAAATTAAAGGGAATTCTCAATTTTGGCCTTGCTAGCCAATAGTCATAGAGTACTACGAGTTCTAAGGGCCTTGCGCTTTCAGTAACTACTAAAAGGCGTTATCCTACGGAATATAACTGGAGTGAGCAAAGCACAAAGGTCAAATAAAACATAAAAAGATTCCTGAAATGGAATTCTCTATCTTTTCTTGATTGCATCATTAGTCACTATTTTAATTACTATTTGTATTATTTAATGTAATGGATAAAACTTATGGCATTCAATTGACTCTGTTTCTTTGGATTATAAAATCAAGCTTCATCAAGCCAGTCAAACCTTTAAATTCTCCCGTTTAAGGACTAGAAATTTTAAAGAAGTTTAAAGATGCAAGGAAAAATGACACGGTATAGCCACTCTCAAAATGATAGCAGAAAAAAGTGTATAATTTTTATATATTTTTTGTATATATATATATTCATTTTGTATGTTATATACAAAAATTATACAAATTTGATATACTTTTTCGGCTAGCAAATGTAAATAATTTCTGACGCGTGCTAAATGTGATAATACCCCAAATGAAAAAAAAGAAGTTCAAAGAAGCCCAAATAAAAAAGGTGATAACTTTTGCCTAACTCCTTCACATATATAGTACACATACACAAACACAAAACATACAAGGAAACTTGAGTTATGATCCAAAGAAGCAAATACATACCTTGTATCATCTGTTCATGCTTCATGCTTCTGTACATCTGCACATATCAAAATACATCTTAAAATTAACTACATAAACAAAGCAGAATATAGAAAACAAAAAAGGGACAATCATGCATTTCCAAACTCTTCTTTAAGAAAGCTTTGTCTCTAACCTGAAGGTGACTCTTTACGTGAGATATGGTCAGGCCTTTCACATCCATTAATTGTAGCACCATTTTTGGAGTTGCTCCTAAATTAAATACAACAATCAACAAATAATAGCCAAGAATATTTAGAAACGTAACCAACTCTTTTCCTAGCTAGCTAATGATACTTTTCTCCTAAAGTTATCATTGGTCCACTCCCCTTTTTAAAGAATAATGAAAAACTTTCCTTAAGAAATAAAAAATTGACCCCTTTTCATGCACTTCTATATATAGCTAGCTCATTCAATTGCATGTAATTTTCATGCAAGAAAATTAAGGGAAAAAAGAGAGAGAGAGGTAGCGTACGATCTTCTCCACCAAGTCTCTCAACAGCATGCACAAAGCTGCGATGAAGATCTTGTGTCCATCGAAGTCTCGGCATTTTGGATCTTACATATGGTCTTACCCCTCCAGATTTATTGCTATGATCTTTTAAGTTATTTTCAATGGATAAAGAAGGAGAACTTTGTGAAGAACATTCAGATAATTCTAGCGGCTGTTTCATCATGGTAAAAAGGAGGAGTTGGGAAGATGGAGGTAGGCTGGGGAAATTAAAGGAGTTATGGTCTATGCTACAACAAAAAGAGAATAAATATTTGTGAGTCTGTTGTCATGTTTTGTCTACTTCTACAGGCTTTTAAGAAGATGGAATTTCTTAAAAAATTTTGAGTTCTTGAAGAGTTTAATTTAGTCCACTGAATTTTTGATTATGAAGCTGAAAATATTTCACGGAATTTCAGAAACTCTAGTGAGATGTTCAACCTTCGCACTCATTATTGTATGAAAATAGTGAAAGAGTACTAGTAGAAAAAAAGGAGAAAATGACTAAGGAAAGAAATAATTCCACAGAAAAGATTCTAATTGATGATAGTGTTACTTTTCAGGACATTCTTGGTTTGAAGTCAGTATCAAAACATTCTTGTGCCCTCATATGAGATATATCTACCAAGAAATCAGAAGGGGTATTAATGACTATTCACTGGCTGCTGGTTGTTTAACTTAGTAATGATCGACCTCATAAGACTTGCTAAAAGACAAGTATGAGAAAACCTCTTTTGGCATTTGGTGAGGCCTTCTGAAGTCAGTTACGAAAAATTAAGACTTGCAAGCGTGTACATGAGTTATACACAAGTGTTTGTTTCTAAGGTTTTAATATAGCTTTAATTTCTGAGCATGACTTGTTATCTCCTCTTTCCGCTTGGTGCGTTCTGAATTCTTAACTCTGCCTAATCTCTATTATTATATTTTTGGTAAAGATAATTTGACTGTTACACTTAGGGGTGGTGAAATGGTTAAAAGAAAATAGTTAACGATCCATATTATTCACTAAAAAATAGGTTGAATAATGAATTTCTTAAAAACGGGATAGTTATGGATAAGAACCATAGTCCATTTAGAAAATGAATAACCAATGGTTAATTAATGGGTTTAACTTTTACATTTGTAAAATCTCAAATTGGGGGTTCCTCAAGTTTGGGAGAAATTCTCCCAAAAGTGATCATATTCATGTAGTCATGGATAATATGGTTATCCATATTATCCGTCGGTTAACCTTTTTTTTATCCATATTAAATATGGGTAGGGTCAGATAATTTATCCGTTTTTTCATTACCCGTGTTCAACCCGTCTCATATTCGTCCCAACCTTCTTGTTTGCCACCCTTAGTTACACTTGTAATAACAAAATTAAAAAAGTGCAAAACGTCATGCTAACTCTAAAGTTTGAATTACTCAAATATTTGTATAGCTATCATATTATCTGGAAAATGTGTTTCTAATTAAGAGGGTGTTTGGATTGGCTTATTTTTAAGTGCTTATTGGCTTTTAAGCACTTTTTTAGTTTGTGTGTTGTTTGGCAATGATAAAAAGTGATTAAAAGCACTTACTTTTAGGCTTAAAAAGTACAAAAATAAGCCAAAAGCCAAAAATTGGGTATTGCCAACTTATGGCTTTTGACTTTTAGCTTAAAAGCTACTTTTTATAAGTCAATCCAAACACCCTCTAAACTAGATCAAGAAAAGAACTTGTATGAAGAACGCCGAGGATTTTTTCAAGTTTCAATTTGTTAGGATATAGAAGTTAATATTGAGATAGTGTATTGTATTTATCATTATGTTAGTAGTCAGTTAGGTGTGTATTAGCATAGTTTTAGATGGTTAGTATTGGGTCCCACATGTAATATGTATATATACTCAGTTGAGTTTCTAATACAATTCAATCAGTTCTTTTTCACACATAACCGACTATTCTCTCTCCTCTGTTTTCCCTGTTCTCCTTCGAGAACCCTCCATGGTTCCACCATTGTAGCTCAAGCTTGAGCCCTATTCCTCTGATGCTTTTACATCTTTACATGGTATCAGAGCGAGGTATTCTACTCACTATTCTCTCCAATTTCTCTTAGTTTTTTTTAGATTCTAGAACCACAATCACAATCTCCGTCTTTTGCCCTAATTTTTTCTCGATCTGACATTCTCTTCTTCTCGTTTCATTTTCTTTTCGACAAATTGATACTGTTTTCTCATGGATATCCTTGATCCAAACAATGATTCTGGAGTTGAATCGACTGATTCAACTTATGTCGCCGGTACTGATCCCGGAGTCTACCCAAGCTGCCCATTTTACATGCATCCATCGGATAATCCTGGTGCGATGTTGGTGACGGCTCCGTTCAATGGCGTTGGATACCGTTCCTGGAGAAGAAGCGTTCTTAGAGCCCTCTCAGTCAAAAATAAAATAGGATTCATCACTAGCAAGTACAAACGACCAGACCTAGATTCTCCACAATTTCGTTAGTGGGAGAGGTGCGACGATATGGTAACCTCATGAATCCTGAATTCTCTATGCAAGGAAACCGTTGATAGTGTTGAGTATGCTAATAATGCTTTTGAACTTTGGAGAGAGTTGGAAAATAGGTACGATCAGACTAACGATACCAAATTGTATCAAATCCAAAAGGAAATCATTGATCTAGCTCAGGGAACCCTTGATGTTATTGGATATTATACGAAAATGAAGAAGCTTTGGGAAGAACTGAGCATGATAAATGCCAAGTCACAGTGTAGTTGTCAATGCACTTGTGGGGCTAAAGAGAATATGCACAAGGCTGAACAAGATAGAAGACTCATTCAGTTTCTCATGGGTTTGAACGAAGTGTATACCACAGTGCGAGGTAGTATACTCATGATGAATCCACTACCTTCTATGGCACAGGCCTTCTCTTTGTTAATTCAGGAAGAAAAACAGCGAGAAGTGAAGCCACATAATCAACTCATGCTCGACTCTGCTTCTTTGAATGCTAATGTAGCTTCGCAAAATAGCTTCAACAACGAACACCTGTACATAACAATTTCATAACTAACTACTCTCCAAACAATTATCCCTCCACGAGTACTAGACCTTGTCCCTTCGTGATCACTGCAAACGTACTGGCCATACTAGAGAGAAATGCTTCAAACTCCATGGCTATTCGCAGGATTTCAATCAGAATCCCAAGTACAATAAAGGCAAAAGGACTGCAGCTAATGTACACATTATTCCACTCGATTCATTTTCTATGAAAGGTGAAGAAACACAGACTCAAAGTAGAAATTCCAATGTGAGTCTCACTAAGGAGCAGTATGGGCAGTTGGTGACTTTGCTCCAACACTTTCAGACCAGCACTAGAGGAGATAGTTCAGACAACAATGTGATTGGTGGAGCTGTGAACTTCGCAGGTATTTTTGCTTGTTCTGCTTCTGTCCTTTCTTTTGATTTTGGCCTACTTTCATGTAAATGCTTTAAATCAAGGGCTGACATTTGGATCTTAGACTCTGGTGCTTCTAACCATATGACCTTTAATAAATCCTTACTCATTCACATTAAAACCTTAGTGTATCCTATGTTAATTACACTGCCAAATGGCTATAGAGTTAAAGTCACAGAAATTGGAACTGCCACATTAGCACCAAACATTGTTCTACATAGAGTCCTATATGTTCCATCCTTCAAGTACAATCTTATTTCAATTCACTCTTTAGCTTCTCAACTTAAAGGTTTGATTGCCTTCTCTGATTTTCTTTGTCTTCTGCAGGCCCCTTCAATGAAGAGGCCTCTGGAGATTGGTAAGGTCAAAGATGGCTTGTACCTTCTATGTTCAAGCTGTCTGAAAAATTCATGCTCTGCTACACATGCCTCTTTACCTGTTTCCTGTTCTGTTTTGTCTAATTCTTCTGATGTAAATAGTTTGCACTGTCAGCATTCTAAATCATCTGTAAATGTTCCCATTTACAATTCACAGTCTTTTGTAAATAATTCCATCAGTAATAAAACTCAGTGCATTCCTTCAAATTCTTTTTTGTCTAACAAGAATCAAGATGATTTGTTGTGGCATTACAGATTAGGCCATGTGCCCTTTATCAAAATGAGGGGGATATCTTTTATCCCTGTTCAGTTCTCAATCAAACAACCTTTCCTCTGCTCCATTTGTCCTATGGCTAGACAACCGAGACTTGCATTTCCCCATAGGACTAGCACTACTACTTCCATTTTTGAACTTCTTCAATGCAGACCTCTGAGGACCCTACCACATTGCCACTCATGATAAGTATAAATACTTTCTCACCTTAGTGGATGATTATAGCAGGGCCACTTGGACTCACCTCTTGAGTAGCAAGAGCAATGTCTTACAAGTCATCCAAAATTTTATCTCCTTAGTTGAAACCCACTTCAATTCCACTGTCAAGTACCTTAGATCTGATAATGGTTCAGAATTTGTCAACATGGAAGCCTTATCATTCTTTCACTCTAAGGGAATAGTTCATCAAAAAACATGTCCCTATACTTCTCAACAAAATGGAGTTGTGGAGAGGAAACATAAGTACCTCTTGGAAACTGTCAGGACACTCCTTTTTCAGTCCAAGTTGCCTTTACAATACTGGGGTGAATGTGTATTGGCTGCAACACACATTATAAACAGACTTCTCACCACTTACCTAAAGAATAAATGCCCAATTAAGATCCTCTACAATAAAGCACCAAAATATTCCCATTTGAGAAGCTTTGGATGCTTGTGTTTTCCTACCATACCTAAAGTCCATAGAGACAAATTTGAACCTAGGACCACTCCCCATGTCTTAGTGGGATATCCTTATGAAACTAAAGGGTACAAGGTATTAAATCTGGCCACCAAAAGGATTCATATTTCTAGAGATGTAATCTTCCATGAGCACATCTTCCCCTTTGCTATCCTACCTACTTCCTCCTCTTCTTTTCCATTAGTACTCAATTCTGCTCCTTGCACAGTAGATGTGCCACCTCCTACAACACACCCAAGTGACTGAGTATCTAGACCACTACCACATTCAGTTCACACCTCCAATGTGCCCTCACCTGTAACAGTATCACCTCCTAGTTGTCCCTCTTCGCCAGAATCTCCTGTAATTCCTCCAACACCTCACATTCAAGAAGATCATGAACCTAGAAGATCTACTAGGGAACATCATTTACCTGTTCATCTAGAAGACTAGGTATACTCTTTACCCAACTTATACCCTACTGCTCATCCTGCGCTTCTAATCCAACTCCTCCTGCTACTACATCCAATCCAGATTCTTCTTTTTCTCTCAATGCTCTTTTCTCCAAACATCATCATGTCCCCTTAAACTCATTGGTCCTTGATAGTCAGCAACTTGTTCAAAGTGTTTGCCATGATAGTGAACCAAGATCTTATGCAGAAGCAGCCTTGAATCATGCTTGGCAAGCAGCTATGTCACTAGAGTTTGAAGCTCTTCATGCCAACCACACTTGGGACCTAGTTCCCTTACCTCCAGGGAAGAAACCTATAGGCTGTCGATGGGTATATAAGGTCAAACACAAAGTTGATGGTAGTATTGAGAGGTTCAAGGCCAGGTTAGT